GCATTAATTGGGCGCCAATTCATTCATTAATTTGTTTTAAATACTGGGATCTAGTCTTCTATTTAATCCCACCCATATCTCCATGAAACCCGGAAAAAATCAAAATCGATCCGTTGGGCACCATTTTAATATTTATTTTGCCAAAAATATATTTAAAAGTCTGATAGTCAATGTAATTTTAACATATTCATTACTATCCACCCCAAAACAGGCAAGGGAAAATTTGAGACATTTATTGGACGCCAAAAATAAAATTTATTAAGCTAATCATTGGAAAACTGAAATATCAAATCTCTTTCTCAAATTTCTTGTGGATCAGTAACGGTTAAGGTGCCATCGCTTTTTTGAAATTTATATCTCAATTAGATTTCACTTCCTCATTTTCTTTTTTAATTTAAGGTAAGGTGTCATCCACCTTTCCTCCCAAGTTCCACTGTTCGTTTTTTTTCAAATATTTCACATTTCAGGTGAAAGAATCAACTACAATCAAAGAACGGTGTCTTATCATTTTAATGAAAATTGTTAAAAATCGAAATCAATTTTTTTCTGGTGCTGTTGACATCGAAAAAAAACCCCAACCAAAAATATTCTCAGTTATCAATCAAACAGAAGACGAGAAAAAAAATTGACAACAAAAACAAACATAACACCTTAACTATCAAAATAAGTTAGCTAAGAGTGTCAAGAGAGAGGTTTCATGAAAGATAAGAGCTATCAAAAACTAAACTGAAGAAACCTAATAAGCCAAACCATGAAATAACAATGATTGAAATCAATAACAATTCTTTAAGGGGTTTAAAATGATGTCTTTTTCATTTCATATATTTTTTTCCATGGGAGTAGGGTGGGGAGTTACACCATGCAAATAAACCGATACTATGCAATAGGTTATTTATCTCTAACACCACACACACATTTAATATAGAGATAAAGTCCAGTTGTGTTGTTGTCTGTCTTTCATTTAGATTGGAAAATTGTCAAATATTTAAGTGAGCTACCTGTCATTAACAAATATTTGTCATCATTTTTCGATTTCAATTTCGTTCGTTTCAGAGATCAAACTGAATAGATAGTTTGATAACTGCAGATAAGAGAATTGAAGGAAAGTAGAAGAAAAAAACAAATTGTTAAAGAATAGTTGAAACAAATAGAGTAAACGTGTCATATTTTTGTACAAATATAGTGGAATGTTATCAAAACTTCTTGTTTTTTTTCAAAAAAAAAAAAAAATTAACCTCAAGAAGAAGAACATGTCACCCAGACAATCAGAATTTCAGAAGGGACCAGAACAACTAGTTTCTGTTATTTGTTTTTTTTTATTTTGGTAAGGAGATAAGGTAATTTTAAGTGGAAACTGAAACAATAGCATTTGAAAAAAAAAAACAACAAGACATTCGAACGGTACCGCCGGCGACAATCCAGTCATAAATCTTCTAATAGAACGAAGACTAAGCAAAAAAATAGTAAAAACCCCCTGTATACAAAACGCCCACCATAGACGAAATTGCCCATGGCTAACAAGATCTATTTTTTTTGTTCATCTAATGTCTCCTAGAGTGCAGGTGACACAATCGCCCAGAATCCAATAGATTACAAAGAACAGCAATAACAACAACTAGATGTCTACATACCATATATCTTGCAACAATACAACACCTTGCTGTAACAGCAGTTGTAACACCAGGAAACCTTACCTTAGCGCCAGCCAGCAAGCCATCCAAAAATCTTTTGTTTTATTTTGGAAAGGAAAAAAATTATCCCTTGGAAAATAACTAAATTGTGTTCTTGTTTTTCCTCTCTCTGTCTCTCCCTCTCGCATTGATCTCTCTCATAACAATAGAATCACAACAAACAAATGTGGTAAAGGTTTTTTTTGTGGTGTTGTTCTTGTTATTTTTACTACCATTGTTGTCATATAAGCCCATTTCTATGGCTGGCTAGCTGAGATCATTCCAGCCAAAATACAACATCCAATTGACACCCGAAAAATTGGCAAACTATACAAAACAACAATTGTAAACCTCAAATATTGTGTGGAAATCCTTAGAATAGAAAAATATTTGAATTTCAAAAGACAACAAGTCAATTGTAAATCCGAAACGAAAATATTAACCACAAGTTTTTCTGCAAAAAAAGGTAGCAGAAATTAAAATTGAATTGCGGTTAACTGGGAATTGGATTTCGAAACAAAGAAAAGTGTAGTGAAAGGAAAGGAAAGTGGCAATGTGTAAGGATATTTGTAAGCAATTGGGTAAGAGGGGAGCTTGTGAAAAAATGCATTATTAAAATACTTTTTGGGGGATTGTTTGCCTAAATGAAGAGCACACATAATTTGGCGCCCAACGTAAATTTTTTGAGCAATTATGTGAGAGAGCAGCTCGTGAGAGAGCAGCTTGTTTGTCTAAATGAAGAGTACACATAATTTGGCGCCCAACGTAAATATTTTTGAAAAGAAAAATACATCGAAAGTGAATTTGGCGCCCAATTTTTGCAAAATTGAGATTTTTTGAAAGTGTAAAAATCTCCCATTAAGTGAAGGTAAAGAGATACTGTGTAAGGATATTTGTTAGCAATAGGCCCCTGAGAAGTCGTTCAGTCCTTATTCGAGATTTGTGAAGGAGAATATGTTGACCAGAAACAAATGTTTAAAAAATCGTTTAATGAAAGTTCGAAGGACTCATAGAAGATTGAATATGTAATCCTTTTTTTTCTTGATAAACCAATGTAAATCACCATAAACATATACAAATGTAATTATTGTGCTATTTGGCGCCCAACATGGGGCTAAATTTTATTTGAGTTTCGTATTTAATATTGAAAGAACGGAAGCTCCAGTTTTTATGATCTGTTTAAATAAATTTCGTTTCACTAATTGTGGAAGAAGTAGTTGACACATTTAAAGAGAGTTTGGAATGTGGGGCCCAACATGAGGTTTTACTATTTTATTAGTAATTTGTCAAGGTATTTTTAAAGGTAATTTTTCACAGCTTGCAAATGATTAAATATTTGAGGGTAAAGAAATCCTATTGTCACTTAACAGCCGCATCTTAAATCAACAACTGTCGACATGACAATTTAGAGAGAAAAATATTGGCCTCTTTTGGCGCCAAGGAGAGAGGCCATCTCCTTGGCGCCAAAAGAGGCCAATATTTCTCTCTCCTTATTTTAGTTCTCCTTATTTTAGTTCCCTAATTTTAGAATAATAGGAGTTATATCTGTTGGCTTGTGAAAATGTATTTCTTTGTAGGATTCTTTACATTTGAAAACATTTTGGCAATTGGCGCCCAACGTGGAGCATTACTATTTAATCAAATAAAGAATTGCCAAGCTTAGGAAGAAAATTAAATTATATTTTTTGGACCCCAGTGTAACAAACAACATTTCAATAGTCGATTTTTTTGGACACGGGTTTGGCGCCCAACATGGCGCTACATTTATTTTAGGTTCCTATCAAAATTGAGAAGAAATAAAACTACGACTTTTATCTTGTGAAATAAATATCGTTCCATTAATTGTGGATTTTTTGTGAGTTTGTCCATTCAATGAGATTGTGACCAGTGGCGCCCAACATGGTGCTCTTTTATTGTATTAGTTTCTTAACTACCATAAGAAGAAAGGAAAGTTATAATGTTTAGAGTATCGTGAAAGAAACGACATTTCAATATTTTTGATGGATTTTTTGGCAGAGAAGGAACGTACGCCCAATGTGGCGCCCAATCGAAAAATGTCGGTTTTTCTTGTGAGTTTGATCCACAATGGAGAAATTTAATATTTTTGGAATTTAGTATTTTAACATTCTAATAATGTGTTTTTGGCGCCCAATTAATGCCAACAATTTTACCCTCTCCTCTATATTTAGATTGTGTTTTCTGCGTCATAGCCTTTTCGAAAAAAATATGGTTCATACGTTTTTTGCAAAAAGTTTATTGTCATTCTATAAATTGATTTGGACTTTGAAATCGACACAAAAATTTACAGCGTTTTAACCCACTGAGATATGACCAAAAAAATATCACAAAATAATGAAAATATATAGCAATAAAACTACTGTTTGCCCCGGCAACATACATACAAACATATTCATATATATGTGTGAACGACATTGAAGTCCATAAATCACTTAAGGAAACGATAATAACTGATAGCAGATAATCGAAAAAAAGAAACAATTTTTTGGGTTAGTAATGGAAAGAAAAAATGTTGCTAAATATCTAAAGAAAGCTTGTGGACAACTTTCTTATAGGAAACAATCGATTTCGATAAAATTTATCGCGTTTATCAATTTTTATGAATTTTTCAAAATTAAACATATTTTATATTAAAAAATACCTTTTATTTCTCTTTTCTTGGAATAATTTTTATCGAAAATCAATTTGAAAAAAAATATTCAAATTTTTATAATGGAAATAATAATAATAACAATTAAAAATAAATAAATTAAAAATGTATTTAAATAAAAAAATGTATCCCTTTTCCGATTATTTGAAATTTTGCAAGGTAAAAAATACCTCCCTTTCCCGGTTTTATTTGCAATTGGGTTGTATTGATTTCACTGCGATTACTCATCTAACAAACGAACCGACAAAAACGGATTTGAAAAACAACACTGCAATTTACGTTACGGGTTTTGCGCGCACACTATATACACCCAAATAAATTAAAAACAAAAAATTGTGTACAAAATTTATTGATTTTCTTTTTCTTGTCAACAGCTAATAAACAACAAAAACCAAAATATCAAACAAAAACAACAACAAAAAATGAACATGCAAATTATGAGGTAGAAAATAAAAACCGTATACAAAAAAATAATAAAACCTCAAACAACAACAAAAAATAAACCTCTACAACAAATCAAAAAATAAATAAATTCAAAAAAATAATAAACTTAAATCCAAAAACAACAACCCTCCAAGACTATCAAAAAAACTTATTAACAACAACAACAACAAGAGTAGAACAACAATTTTGCTTTGCTTTAGCAGTTAACCAATAAAAAAAGCTTCAAAATTATACTCGATATGGATATGACCTCTACAGCCGAAGCTGCTGCGCGCAGCTGGTATGATAATCCCCGCCTTGTTGGCGGTGGTGGTTCACCTCAAACAAATGGTTTGGGCTCATCGGCCGGTGGTTTGGGCCATCATGGCCTTACGGCCGGTTTGGGTTCAACAGCCGGCGGCAGTATGGGTTTGGGTGGCAGCGGTACAGCTGGTTCGACCAGCGGTCTGGGTTTAGATACCTCCGATATGGGTGCATTTTATGCACTGGAAAGTAATGGTCATCATCGTAGATATTATCCCAGCTATCATCAACATGGTAAGTGTCAATTAGAAAATATTTTTTGATAATTAATAAAAATTTAAATTTGGAATTTGTGGTCTTGTTTTTTCAAATATTCTATTAAACAATTTTTATGAAAATTAATTTTTGAATTGAAAATTACAATTTTTTCTTTCAAATATTAAAGCTCAAGGAAAATTCCCATTCTAAGCAATTTTTGTTCATGGTCTTAAGACCCCTCACATTTACCTTTAAAAACCCTGCAACTATTTTTCATCATTCTGTGTAAACACAATTCTCATTCAATTGTCAAAATGGTGCGTGAGTGATTGACGTGTGGTTCATTCCGAACTATGTCTAACTTAGCCACCCTTACCTTACTCCTCCGCTAACCATCGATGTGTTTCGTCTTGGCGTTATAACCACATTGTTAACGAATAATAATGAAATTGTTACAACAAACATTGGAGTCGAAACAATAAAGGCCAACAAAAATTCAAACGCATGAACCAACAACAACATATAGCTGAGAATTTAACAAAGAAGAAATATTAACGTCAGTCATAGGACTAGCCTTGCAACACCCTCATAATAATTGTCAGCTGGTGGGTTTTCGGGTGGGACACCTTTTTTAATGTTTCATCTATACAAGAAAAATGAAATTAAATGGGACCTTACAAGAACTCGAAGGACCACTAAATGGGAACTAAATAAAGTCTTAAATTCTATTTATTTTTGGGAAACTTGGTCTTTGAAAATCCGACACATTTAAAATACAGTAAAAGTGGCGAACATATTACTTTTTTTATGAGTAGTCTTTTTTAATTTTTTAAGGTCAAGGGGTTGCGGAATTCTTTTTAATTATTTTAAGGTCAAGGGGTTGCGGAATTCTTTTTACTATAACTACAAAAATTTTCATTCAAATGTCCTTAACACTTTCATCTTTGACAAGAATATCCTAAGTATTCACCTGCAATCTATAAATGGGATTTATATAGATAACCTCCTTCAGAAGCTCAGAAGAAGAGCTCGAAGGACCAGAAGATGTTAGGTTCCTTATCCGATTATTGTTAGGTTTTATTTCTTTAAACTTCAGTTGGAAGGTCCTCCACATTTAAAATACAGTTAAAGTTGCGAATCTTTTGTTTAATTTTTTTATAAGAGAATATGAGGGAGCTCGAAGGACCAAGAAATTTAAAATACAGTTAAAGTTGGGAACTTTTTGTTAGACTTTTCTTATTTTCGACAAGATCGAAATCTTCTGGTGAGTTTTCTTGTCCCTTCTATTTTTAATTTTCTTCAATTCAAAGGTTCTCCACATTTAAAATACAGTTAAAGTTGCGATTTTTTTATTTTATTTTTTTATAAGAAAGCTTGACAGAGCTCGAAGGACCAATAAATATAAAATACAGTTAAAGTTGGGAACTTTCTGTTAGAATCGTCTTCTTTTATTCGTTAGACATTTAGGTCCTATGGTTAGTTTTCAGGTAGAACAAATTTGTAATTTTATTTCATCCAAAATTGACAGGTTGAGGGCTCGAAGGACCATTAATGGATACTGAAATTGAATTTATAACCCGATCTTTGTCAGATTTTTTATTGGTTCCATTTTAATTGTTTAGCAAATCAAGGTCCCCTTTTTTCAATTTCCACTTCCTGAAACAACTCCCCATTGACACTTGGCCAATAAAAATAAACCTCCATCTAAATATAGCAGCGTTTTACATGGGAATCCATTGTCCCAAAACCTGCAGACATGCATCAATGGCCATTGAAATAGGCGATTGTTTTCAATATGCGAATTATTTTTGTCACTGGAGCGCATACTCTCCCTCTACACATCACCTCACTCCACCTCTCTTCTCTATCTCTCTTCGAATTTTGGACAATATTCAATTATTCATACATATTAACGCTTAAACGCTTATAACAAACGGCAAGCAACATGTTTAATTCATGTGATTTTTGGCCTCCCCAGTCGTCGTCATCGTCGTCGTTTTGGGTATGACTGGCAGTCATTCATTCACTCACTCACTTCGTGGCTAACTCCCCTTTTGAATCCGTAAAGATGAAAAGAAAGCGTTATTGAATTCGATTTTTCGATTGTAATTCATTCATGCGATCAAATACGTCAGGCAGGCAGGCAGACCGGCAGCCAGAGTCAGTTTGGCCAAGCCAATATCAATTTCCAATGAAAGACAATTCAAAGCGGCAGTCAAAAAATCCGAATCGAAAACCAAAACGATCATTCAAATTGCTTAGCATTTATTTTTCTGCTGTGGCATCCCGCAACTAAATAATATCTTTTATATGGATGAAATTCAAAATAAGCAGCAGTTTCTTTGCCTTTGTAACTCCAGAGCAACAAAGTGAAGTGACAGACACAATGTCTGCACACAGCAATCCTACAGCGAAGCTTGGCCAACAAGTGAGTAAGCATTTGCCAAGTTTTGTTGGTTGTTGTGTTTGTTTTCTTTAAACAAATTAAGATTTTAAAATTCATTAGTCTGCAAATGTCAATACTGGTTGTGCTGTGCTCTGTGTTGCTTTGATTGAAAGCTTAACAAATGTCAAAATTTCTTTTCAATCAAATATTGAAATATATCTTTTGGGGAGGGAAGCTGGCTGGCGGTTTTGTTTTTTGACAGTTAAGCTGTCATCTTAAATGCTGACAGATTAACAGCAGATTAAATATTATTGATCATCATCAGCAGATTTTTATCTGAAGAAATGAAAGAATCTCATGGAGATTACATCAGAAATACACAAAGTTCTTAAATTGTTGTTAATTCTAGGAAATTGTTTCATACTTTGCAATCTCACATACATGATAAAAATGTGAAATTTTCTTAGTTGAATAAAATATTTTATTTATGGCAGGGAATAACTTAAAACTTTACCTAAGTTAGGAATTTAACCATATAAATGTATAATTTTATGTAATATAGGTATTTGTTTCATTTGTTTTAGGAAAAGTGTTCCTAATTTGACAAAATTTATGATTTTAAGGTTCCATAGGGACTTTTTTTGTCACATAAATTTTCAAATTCGAGAACCTATAGCCTGAAAAAGACAATTGTGGGAACAATAACTTGTTTACACATAAAATAAAATCCTTTTTATTTACTTTCATTTTTGTTGCCTACATTTGGGGATTAGAATGAAAAGCTATAGTTATGAGTCCTGTGTCAAAAATGTTCCTCATATGTTTCTCTGCAATAATCTCTTTAATAGCAACAATGATATAGCAGATCTTATAGCTTTAAAATGTAGGAGAAATAAGTTACTTAGTTTACAGAAAAATTAGCACTTTTTAATGAAATATTGAATTTTAAGCCTACTTTTAGGGGCGATGGAATAGAGCTAGGGGATTAAGTTCTGCGGCAATAATGTTGTAAATTTTGTGCTCTATTTATGTTATTTTATGATGAAACCTGAAATCGAAGATATTGTAGCACTAAATCAGGATTGAAGTAGGTTACTTAGCGTGCAATGACATTTATGGATTTTTGTAAATTGACGAGAAATATATACACGATTTGAAGGCTTTGGCAATAGATTTAGGGATTTGAGTACATTGGTGAAAATATAGCCCAGGGGATTTCCTATAACTCTCTCTTGAAAGAGAAACTGCAATTTGAAGGTCCAACGTATTTAAAATACAGTTAAAGTTGAGAACTTTTAGTATACTTTTTTAGAATAGTGTTTATATTTGTAACGTGTTTTTCGTGGTGAAGTAGTGGTCTGATGAGGTCAGTCACTTCGAAAGAACTGTTACGGGATTTGTTTTATATATTTCTTTCTTATATATGAAATAAAATCTTAGGGTCCTTATAGGTAAAAATTAGGAAATTAGCAATACGTTTGATATTAAAATTTGTGCCACCTATTTTTGTGAGTTAAATTTTGTTGTAGGGGTTTTCCATGCTAGAAGTTGAAAGGGGTTATTGGTTCCTTTGGAAAAAAAAATTCCTCATAATGTCCTCTACATTTCATGCTTTGACATGATCCAGGTTTTGGAATGTTGTAGTTCGGAAAAATGGCAAATAGTACTGTAACCAAATGTTTTCCTTCTATTTTTTTTTTAAATCTTTGAATTTTATTAGGAATTCAAAACAAGGTTTAGACACCCATTTGCAAATGAGTATAAGCTCATGTTGTTGTTCCTTTTTGGCAAGCGGCGGAATGTAAAATAATTTGTTGTCTTTTTTGTGTTGCTTGACGAAAAAACGAAAAAAAATCAACGCAAGTTTTGTCGGTAAAACATCAAAAACCCCGAATTGCTGGGAAGACACCTTTCGGTACAATAAAATTGTGCGGTTGTTGTTGTTTCTGTTATTGCGGATTTTTTTTTTTTAATGCGATTCTTAACGATATTTTGCTTTCCGTATGGAATGAATGCAAAATAGCTTAGGTTTGAGCTTTGTTGTGCTGTGTGTGATGATGGGCACACGAGCAATTCAGCCGGAGCACGTTCAAGAACCAAAGCGATTACTAAGAAAAATTTACTATACATAAAAAATAAAAATACAATGACAAATCCACATACACACAAATAAGTTACATTACATACTCAGTTGAGGCAGTAATACTGATGATGATGATCGTCATCGTGATCATGATGGTGAAGAGAATTTCTTCAAGTCATTGTGTTATGGCCATAGAAGGAAAATGTTTAAGCCACCATAAGTTAGTTGATTTTTTTCTACATCTTCAAGTTTTTTTTTTAATTACACATAATGTCAACAACAAGAAATCACGTGTTTGCGACAACTACAAGAACAACAATGGCAACAACAACAACATTCTGTCATTCTTCTTCTTGAGCCGCATACATATATAGTATTCCGACTTTCTGCGAATGTTGAAAGAAAGAGTAAAAAGAACACTTGCCGCTCATGTAAGCTACAACAACAACCATATTGTAATGTTGTACATTTTATGGTAACATAGGAAAATACGAAGAAGAGGGCAGAAAAAAACGAAAGAATCGTGTGTTGTTGCAACATGTTGAAATTGAAATAATTATGTCATTT